AAATAAATAAATAAATAAATAATAAAAATTTAAAAAGAATCACATGGCTGGGTGCAGTGGCAAGTGCCTGCAATCCCAGCTGTTTAGGAAGCTGAGGCAGGAGAAGGGAAAGTTTGGGCCCAGCAACCTTCTGTCACAAAAGGCCTAGAGATGTAGCTCAGTGTGAAGACGGGGTTTAATCCCCAGAACCACGAAGAAAAAAAATAGTATTTCTATCTGGATGGGACACAGAGAGAGACAAATGTTTCAAATAAAACACTATCTGTGAATTTTAGACAATAGATCAATGAGTGTAGCAAAGTTCTTTGAAAAATACAATGAACTGTTAATGTCTGAAATCTGTTAAGTTGTGGAGTACTTTTCTGCTTGGGAAATGGGCCTTACAAGTATGTGAACTGAAAAAAAGCACAATTTGAGAGAAGTGAGTCCCACATCACCCACGTGTGAGACGGCATTTTGAGAAATTGATCCTGAGCTTTGCACAGTTTTATAATTGTCTCACAATCCATGTTTATGATGCTAAGGAAGATTACTGTTAAACGATAAATTTAATTTCTTCAAGAAGGATAACATAACTGTCTTCTAAGTATATTCCAAGAAACTCTGCCACTTGACCCTTCTAGATGTCTACTCGCAAAGCCTGTGGTCTGGCTCTGGCTAAGCTGGGCTATGAGAATGACAGAGTCATTGTGCTGGATAGTGACACCAAGAACTACACCTTCTCTGAGATATTCAAGAAGGAGCATCCCGAGCGTTTCATTGAGTGCTTTGTTGCCGAACAAAATATGGTAAGTGTCCACGGAAGCCTCTTGGGCCTTCTCAGTGACCACCAGGATTCCTGGGACCCAGAAGCCCTCTTGCATGGCAGTGTTTCCTTCCGGAGGGCCTCCAGGCAAACAGGGATCAAGGAGCCAGAAGCAGGGTGGTGGCTTCCAGGTTTGCTGACTGCAAGGATGTGGTGGGCGGCCAGGGAACCGTGTCCAGGGAGCAGCAGGCTAGAGCCTGAGTACCCCGTCCAGCCAAGAGCTAGGCAGTGCTATAGCCACAGCAGTGTTTCTCCCTCCCCACTGGAGCATGGGGCCTGATGCAGACAGGCATCCGTTACACTAAGTGGGGCCTCAAGAATATGAATAGTTAGAAGCCAAGTGTGACAGTGCATGCCCATAATCCCTGCCACTCAGGATTGCAAGTTGAAGGGTGGCCTGGGCAACTTAGCAAGACCTTGTCTGAAAATAAAAAAATAAAAAGCACTGGGTTTCTAGCTCAGTGGTTGAGCATCCCTGGGTCTCAATAAGGTGTCTTCTTGTTAATTTTTTTTTAAATTTTATTTATTTATGTGTGTGTGGCCAGCTCAGCCCACCAGGGGGCGGGGCTGGCTGGTATGTGGTGCTGGGGGATTGAACCGCAGTCCCTGTGCTTTGCTAAGCTTGTTCTAAATAGGTGCTTTAGACCACTGAGCCATCTCACCAGCCCCATTGTTGTTAATTTTGAATAAAATTCAGTCCATAACTTTGTGGATGGATTCTCATCAGAAAGCTTGCTCCTACTTCCCTGGTCCTCCAGCCAGCAGTCATGTACTGTGCATGCTGGTACTGGAAGGAACCAGTACAGAAGAGGCCAGCAGGTGGTGTGGAGCTACAAGTGGCTGTAAAAGACGCTAGGGGTGAGGAGGGACAGCTTGCCAGGAGAGTAATAGCCAGGCTGCCTCCAGGGACTCACTGGTGTACAGACCCAGGCAGGCAGTGGTGCTCCCAGTGGAGACTTGATGAGCCTGATGCTTAGGGAGTGGAGGGAAGGAAGGCTACCAGGTGGTGAAAGCAGCATTTTCAGGGACTGAATCACAGCCTTACAGCTCACCTGCAGTTTGCTGACTGTCCACAGGAGGGCGAGCAGGAGGGCTTCCGGCAGACCTGGCCTTGAGAACCAGGCAACACATGGCATGGTAAAGGGGGAAGATGGGCCACATCAAGAACAAGAGCCAGAAGCATGCCAGGGGCCAGACATCACCCACTGAGCACCAGCAGTGAGTGGTGTGGCTTGGACAAGTCTGGCAAGAAATAGACTCAGTGGGTACTGTTGGGAGCTCCAGGTTTGCTTCCAAACCACTAAGTGCCCTCTTCTAAGACACACATGACTTTGCCTATTTATTTATTTACTTATTTATTTTTGGTACAGGGTCTTGCTAGGCTATTCAGACTTGTAGTGATCCTCCTGTCTCAGCCCAACCAGGGCCAGCACAGCATGTGGTATCAGGGATCAATTTTGGGACCTTGTGCTACAGTCTCCCTTGTGTTGCTCAGGCTGGACTTGAACTGGCTCAATTGATCCTCTTGCCTGAGCCTCCTGAGTAGCTGGGACCACAGGCCCACAATACCATGCTTGGTCTAACATCTGAATTTTTAATCACAAATTCAGAGTTTTAATATTTTAAACTAATAAATGATCCCAAAATGGCTATAAGACAGCTCTCCTTTATCAGAAATTAAATCCCTTTTTCTTCTAGAGCTACTTCTATTCCATTTCCCCAGTATGTATGAAAGGTTTTTTTTTATTATCTTGCCCTTTTTCTACAATAAAAATAATACATGTAAATTGATAACTTTTTTAAATTTTATAAATGTAAGAATGTCATTATTTTACAATGTATTAACAGTTATAGCAAATGTATACTATCCATTTATGGTAACTTTATATATATATATATATATATATATATATATATATATATGTTTTCACTACAAAACAGTCCTCCATTTACATCCCCCTTCCTTGCTTTGCTTTGTCAGAGATGGGTGTGATAACATTTTAAATTTTCCTTAAAACCAGGCTGGAGAGATAGCTCAGTAGAATAAGTGCTTGCCTAACAAGTGCACGGTCCTGAATTCAATCCCCAGTACCACTAAAAAATTTTTTTCCTTAAAACCCTAGCCCAAAAAAAAAAAAAAAAAAACCCTAGCCCTCTGAGCATTAGAATTTTTTACTGGGAGGACTGGGGAGATAGCTCAGCAGCATAAATGCCTGCCCAAAGCACAAGGTTCTGAGTTTGACCCCAGTACCAAAAAAAAGAATTTTTCTTTGGGATTGGGCCGTGGTTATTAGTTTATATGCATCAGTAAATAAGTACATTTGTAATTTTAAAGAGGTGAGATTGAGAACAAATTCTATTTTTAATTTTAATGATATAAGAACAGAGAGTTCTGTTACAGGAATGTCAGAGTTGTAGCCAGATATAATAACACATGTCTGTAGTTCCAGCTACTTGGGAGACAGAGACCAAGGGACTGATTACAGCACCACCTTGGGCAACTTACAGAGATTTTGTCTCAACAGAAAAAGCAATTTGTAAAAATTAAGTCAATAGTTGGAGTAGCTTTTCTTTGAGTTTTGCTAAGAGCAGTGGAAGCCCCCGGGGCTATCATGTGATCATTTCAGCCCTTCACTTGCTCAGTGCCGCATGGCCATTCCAGGCGTGAGTTGCACCTCGAGCTGGAGCTTTACACTCCAACTGGCACCCCTGGTGGGTGCAGCCAGGCTGCTGGAGGGCTCGGTAGGGAGACAGCAGGCATGGTGGCCACGGGCCCGTCTCTGCGGGTGAATGTAGGAACTGGCTGCCACCCGGGAAGCATCTTCTTGGCTTTGAAGCCAGTGACAAGCACATGCCCTGGAAAGGTCTCGTTTACTCGCAGAAGTGTTCATTCATGCCCTAGCTTAAAGGCTGCTCTGGAGTCCCTGGGAAGGGAAGGAGTGTCCACGGGAGCCTTTTATGTCTTCTTGGTGACCACTGAGAAGGCAAGGAATGATGAGATCACAAAGCAGGGGTCCTGTGAAGGTCAGGACAATTTCGAGCCAGGTATGGCTTCCCAGAACCTGCAGCATGATATATAGCTGCCCCAGGAGGCTACAGTATGTGCCTCAGAAAGAGTGACTTGTGCTGTGTGCTCATGAGAACCTAAGGAGACACTGAAAACCCAGGTCGGGTTACTGGGCATTGGGGTGGGATGGCAGTGTGCATGGAATAGGCTCAGAGTGAGTGAGGCAGGGGCTGGTGACATTAGGGAAGTCCCATGCACAGATGTGACACAGCAGAGGGTTAGGAAGGCAATGGTGTGTTAAGTAGAGCCAGAGTGATCCAAGAAAAGGGGAGACAGACTGGGGAGTCATTGCACAGCTGGTGACCTCATCAGGGATTTAAGAGGACAGAAGTTGGGATTACAAGTGACGTGACAGGCCCAGGTGGGTAGGGACAAAGTGGATAGGGCTGCTGGAAACACCCATGCCCTAGGAAATGTGAGGCGAGGAAGGTTCTAGGAGCAGAGGAATAAGGAAAAAGGCCAAGACTGCAGAGCATTTGGGTGTGAGCAGAGTGTAGGGATTGTGGGGATCATGGCCACTGGGGGCCAGAGAGGCTGACTGGTGCTCTTTGTGTTGCAGGTGAGCGTGGCACTGGGCTGTGCCATGCGCGGCCGAACCATCGCTTTTGCCAGCACCTTTGCTGCCTATATGAGCCGGGCATACGATCAGATCCGTGTGGGTGCCATCTGTGGAGTCAACATTCGCCTCATTGGCTCCCACTGTGGGGTGTCCGTGGGTATGAATTGGGAATGTATTATCTCAGTGCAGAGGAGGGTGCGCATGTCATGGCTCTCAGGGTCCTCTCACAAGTGGAACTTCTTGGAGTGCCTTTACAGAAAGCCATGTCCTGTTTGAAATGTTATAGATGCTCTGGGTAACCTTTTCCCCGTTGGTGTTGTGTAAAAGAGTGACTCAACTCTTGGAGAGACAGCTGTCCTGAGCGCCATGTGCTGGATGTGAATAGGGATGACACAGCCCCAGCATGCATTTCCACCCTCTTCACAGTGGCATTCTGACTGGGGTTAGCAGGGGGGTGGGCTGTGGGAGCCCCGGAGGAAGATGATGCGGGGAAGCAGGCTGGGAAACACGTGGTCCCATGAGCAGTGACATGCTAGGGAGAGCTGGGAGAACACAGGAAGACATGAGTGACCAGAGGGAACATGGAGGAGGAAGAGGAAGTATAGGCAGCAGATAGAGGGTTCAGAGCTGCACGCCAATTATGTCTCCAGTACCTCTCTCTAGCCAGAGGGGAGGGAGCCCTGTAAAGCTCAGCCAGCTGGTGTGAGTATGTGGAATGGGTCACCTTGGTACTCGATGGCTGGCATTTGCTGCTAGAATGTGGGGCCACCCCCAGGGGAGCCATGTACATGGTACTGGGAGAATGATACTAGATGACAGGGTTCTGGGTAGAGCTGGGTTCACAGCCAGATTGGTAATGTAGCAGGCACAGGGAGAATTTCATGGAGCCAGGACAGAGCAGAGAGCCACGGCAGCTGAGGCACAGCTGCATGTCAGGGTGGGCAGCAGAGCACACAAGGATCCTCAGCATCAGCCATGGGGAGCAGTGGCTGCAGGTGGAACCAAGGCAGTGTGTTTGGTGACAGCCCCCGCGCCCACCCTGCAGTGCTTGTGCTTTCCCTTTCCACAGTGCTGTGGCCAGAAATGTCTCTCCCCATGCCAAGGGACCCTTAGTCAAAACAACAGCCCCTCAGGTGTCCCAGAGTTGTGTGATGTTCAGCTACTGGGACAGCCAGGAAAGTGAGCCAGATACCTCCCACTCAAAAACACGTCTCGCCAGGCAGTACAAGGCACTACACCATGTACTTGTGACCCCAGCTACTCTAGAGGCTGAGGCAAGAGGGTTGCAAGTTTAAAGCCATCCTGATCAACTTAGCAAAACACTATCTCAATATTAAAATTTCAAAAGGGCTAGGAGTAAAGCTCAGTGGTAGAGCACCACTGGGTTCCATATCCAGTGCCCCAAAATGATTGAAGAGCAAAGAGGGAAGGACAGAGCCTGAGGGGACCCTGCTATGAAGAGGACAAGGTCATAGACCTGGCACAGTGGGCAGTGGGTTCAGTCCACCATCACTCCAGGCAGGAGGCAGTGTGAAGTCCACTTGGACAGATCTTGGGTTGTAAAAGACTGACCCAGGGTGTTGGCCACAGCACAGTTCAGGGACTTCCCCAGAGACAGTGAAGGGCACAGGGGAGGTTCCAGGGGGCCATACTCACCTTTTCATTGGCCTGTGGCTGTTGCAGGTGAAGATGGACCCACCCAGATGGCCCTGGAGGACCTGGCCATGTTCCGTGCACTCCCTAACTGCATCATTTTCTACCCCAGTGATGCTGTCTCTACTGAGCACGCTGTTTACTTGGCAGCCAATAGCAAGGTATGTTTAGGGGACACTGGCTTAGACGTAGAATGTTTCTTAGCTCTGCTACATTTGCTACTGATTGGCTTTTCCCCTTTGTTTTTGTCTTTTTGAAACAGGGTCTCACAAGCAGTTCAGACTGGCCTTGAGCTCATTTTGTAGTTCAGGCTGGTCTTGAACTCTCAGCAATCCCCCTGCCTCATCCCTTGTGTTTTAACGTCAAAATAATATTTATTATAGAAAACCCAATGGTAGGACTCTTGGTTTTATTATTGTTTTCTGGTACCAGGGATTGAGCTACATCCCCTGCCTCAGCCTCCCAGAGTGCTAGGATTGCAGACCAGTGTCAGGATTCTAAAGAGAATGTAACCTTTACATTACAGCACAGGTGAATGTGCACATGAAGAAGACATTGGCATTGAGGAAGTCAAGTGGTGCACAAGGATGCTAAACTAGGCCTGGCCCTCTCAGTTACGGCTCAGGGCAAGACACAGTGCCCTGGGGGGGGGATCTCTGCAGGAAGAAAGGCACCTGTGAAGTCACAGGAGCAGGCTCCAGATTTAAACCTAAACTGTAAAGGATCAGCCAGTGGGGTCGCCACTTCTACACCCACCCTTTGAAGATCCCCCTGTCCCGAGTGCAGTGGTACACACCTATATGCCCCACTACTCGGGAGCCTATGGTGGCTGAATTGCTCAAGCCCAGGAGTTGCAGAAAGTGAGAGCCTGTCATTGCCCAAAAGAAAGTGGCACCCCAGTGAGTGTAACCAGGGTAGGAAAGCCACTGCCGCTGCAGCCACACCTCTTAAAATCCTGACAGTGTGAGAGTGGGTGACAAGGGAGTGCTACACACAGACCCCAGCTCCTCCAGACAGTTCAGAGGAGCCAGAGGCTGCATGAAGTGGAGGACCTTGGTAACACTGGCTCCTCTCCAGCCTGTGCTCTGCACACGCCCACCACCACCATACTCTGTACTTCCTTTTTGCTTCCTAGGTCTCATTTGGGTGGGGTTTGTGGCTCTGGGATGGAACTGCGGGCCTTGCTGTGCTAGGCACTTGCTCTACCACTGAGCCGCACCCAGCCCCTACCTGCCACATCTGGAAAGTTGTTGCCTGTCATCCACATCTAGAAAGGTCACAGGAAGTAGAACAAGACTGCCAGACATCAGAGAAGAGGTCGCTTCCTGGGGTGCAGAGGCCTAGAAAGAGGCACCAACAGGCAAACGTGAGCCAGAGGCCAGCCCAACAAGACCTGGGCAGGGATACGTGGCATGCGTCCCCACTGAGATGGGACTCAGCTGCAACGCTTAGCTGGGATGCACTTTCTGTGGCTCGGGCCAGCTCCTCACATGGGAGTGAGCAGAAGCACTTTCCTGATTGTCACTTTAGTTTCTAATACTCGTGTCACTTATGTTAACTGTTACTAAATGTGTGTGTGAGAGAGTTGGTAGTAATTCCAAAAGGGGTCCTCGCACGTCTGGATGAGTAGCCAGATGAGTAGCCAGTTTCTAAGAAGAAAGTTACCTTGTGGCAAAGATGACTCTCACACTACGTTTTGGACTCGTCCACAGGGGTCAGCACCCCTGCCTTGTGTTTAGGCTCTGTGGAGACAGAAACAGCAGTGTGGGAAGCCGGCTCTCCAGGAGTGGCCACTCTCCTGCTCCAGCCTTCGTGTTGCGGCGGCAAGGCTTTGTTCTAGTACTCTGCGCTTCCTACTTTATTATTTGGGAGTTTACTGGCTGCTTTTCTAAAGGCCTGTTCTGATTTGCATTTCTGCATTAGGGGGTATGCTACATTCGCACCAGCCAACCGGAAATTGAAGTTGTTTACGCCCCACAAGAGATTTTCAAGATTGGGCAGGCCAAGGTAGGGGCTGCTGTGCCATTGCTGTCTGCTGTCATTCATGCTAAATTTCACACTAGGTGCCCCCAGTCAACATGTCATCTTTTATTGGCTCTTGCTTTTAAAAAATCAATTGTGGCCTTCACCTGCTTTTCCCCAGGAATATTCCAATAATTTCAGCTTGATCTGCACTTCTCTCCTTTCCAAATAATCTCTTTGTGAGCTATTTATTCTGAGCCAGGGTCTCACTGAGTTGCTGCTAGCCTCTAACTTGTGATCCCCCCTAGCAGCAGGGATTACAGGCATGTTCCATCATGCCTGGCTTTTATTGGGCTCTTAATGTAATACCAACATGAGTATTACTACATCTGGAGCATCTTTGCTGTAATTAATCTCAACCTCAAACTAAACAAAATAATAGAAAGCAGTCCAAGTGAAGAACCTGGGTTGAGTCTACAGACCTAAGGCAGGGTGGAAAAGAACAGGCAGCATTGTGCCCACACACCTGCTGATGAAAGGCTGGCACCCAGCTGAGGACCCCATCCCTCCTGCTGTGCCTGCCCATGTCCCCTAAGAAGTCATGAAAAAGGTGCAGCACGGTCACCATGCAGTTTTCGCCCCTGCCTTTGCCTCGTCAAGGACAAGTTCCGTGCCCTGCTTTGATGGCATCTTACGTGAACTTGAAAGCGCCCCCGGTACTCTTCTTAAGTGCAACACGCTCACTGCAGCGCACTCTTGAAGCGTCCATAGGGAATCCCCACCTTGCTCCCGGGGGCTGGGCTGCTGCAGTCACAGCTTTGTACTCAGGACAGCCGTGTCTGCGATGTGAGTGGCTGAAGTTCAGCAGAAAGCATAAGCCGCCAGGCCACAGGGCTGCCCTAGCACTGCTGAAAAGAGTGGGGCAGTGCTTCCCTCGGTGTGAAATCCAGGTTCTTTGTGCTCTGTGCCCCTGCCTAAACCCAAAGCCACATCTCGAAGGGGTGCTTCAGTTGCATGCTCTGCACAGTTTTTCTATCTCTTTGGTCTTTGTTTTTTATTTTTGTTTTTGTTTTTGCAATAATTAGGCTTGAAGCCAGGGCCTTTGCATGAGCAACATCCCCACCCCTTTTTTTATTTTTGTATTTTTTGTGGTACCGGGGATTGAACTCAGGACCCTGCACTTGCCAGGCAAGCACTTACTTTACTGAGCTTTCTCCCCAGACCTATTTTTTAGTTTGAGACAGGGTCTCAGTTGCTTCAGCTGGGCTTGAACTTGCAATCCTCCTCCCTCAACCCTGCACACCTACATGCCTAGATTTTGCAGCACTGGCAGCTGGAAGCGAGGCCTTGTGCGTAGTGGACCATTAAAAAGTCATTGCGTTTTGGAGGGGGGACTGGGTCTTACTGCGATGGAACCACAATATTCTCTTTTGTTGCTGCTGCACCAGGTCATACGCTATAGTGACAAGGACAGAGTCACCATTATTGGAGCTGGAGTGACTCTGCATGAAGCCTTAACGGCTGCTGATGAGCTCTGCCGTCAAGGTTAGTGTGTCATGCATGGTGAGTGACTCCAGGAGCTGGAGACCTGTCCCCAATGGCCTTCCATTCCTTGTCCATGGGTCTTTCTCTGTGGGTGGTGCAGGTGCCACTGTTCTTTCCCCGGATCTGTCTCATATCCCTTGTTTGCTTTGCAGACATCTCTGTCCGCATCATCGACTTGTTCACCATTAAGCCCCTGGATGGCGACACCATCATCTCCAGTGCAAAAGCCACTGGTGGTCGGATCATCACGGTGGAGGATCACTACCCAGAAGGTAGGAACAGGTTAGGCTCTGGCAACCTGCCACCCGCGCTGGTTCCACTTGTAGTGTAGTCATCAGGGTGAGTCACTGACAGCAGAAGCGTGTGGCTCACTCAGCAGGGAGGGCTCATGAAGTCCTTGAAGTTCTGGCTGCTTCTGCTATCCATCTGATACCTCTAGGTATCGAGCAGAGTGCCAGGTAGGGCAGGCACCTTAGGGGATGGGCCACATGCCGCACCAGTGCAAGGGCCAGGGAGGACTGGAGAAGCCCCACAGAGGCCGCTGCTGCCATGGAGTCATCCCTGCTGTTGGGCTTGTAGAGTGCACAGTTCACACTGAGTGCCTGTCTGACACTTTTAGTGTTCTTAAGTACTTGGCATCAGGAGGAGTACAGCCTATGCTTGGAGTGGTGTAGGTCCAGGGGTAGGGGATGTACTTCCCTGGTCAGGCAGGCCAGCTCCAGTGTCCAGAATATCCAGATCTCAATGGCCCTCCGCAGGTGGCATTGGAGAAGCCGTGTGTGCTGCTGTCTCCTCAGAGCCTGACATCGTGGTTCGTCAGCTGGCCGTGCCGTTGATGGGTATGCCCCAGAGTGGGAGGCCCGGTGAGATGCTGAGCATGTTCGGCATCAGTGCCAGACACATCGTGGTGGCTGTGAAGCGCATTCTGTCACAGTGATGCCCCAGCCAGCATGCGCCACCTGTGCAAGTTGGCTCAGCTCCCAACTCTGCTCTCAGACATCCTACTTCACACCTTCCTTTGAACAGAGCTGTAGGCCCTTTTGTTAGTGTTTGTTACCAAGTTTTAAGTGAGCAATAAAGTTAACTGCATCAACGCCTGGCAGTGAGTTTCTGGTAAGACCAGAAGAGGGGGTGGAGGTTCTGTGGGTGCCATGTTGTTCTCACAGTGTGTGTGGCCTTCCTGTGTGACCCCTTGGATGACACACAGCTTCACTGTCAGGGTGACCCATGCTGCCAGCGGCCTTGTCCTGCAGAGGCACAGGAAGGCCCAGGCAACCTGTGTACACGTGAGGTGGAGCGTGCCAAGTGCCAGAACCTGGAAAGGGGGTGCCCCCACATACTGTGTGCCTAGCAGAGCCGTGAGACCACCTCGGGCCTTATGGGCGAGGCTGGGGGCCCAAAGTCCGAGAGCGCTTGGGATGAGTTGGTACTGGTTAGTGTTAGAAGACCCAGAGCCACACAGCTCCTCATCTGGGGTACCGACAAGGAGTTCCTCACACTTGCAGGGCCACACCCAGGAGCACAGCTGCCCTGCAGCCACTTTAGCACAGCAGTACCTGTTACTGTCACCCCTGGCCACCTCTGACCTATGTCCTGTTGATGGGTTTCCTCATGGGGTATTCTGTAAGATCACAGAACACAGTCCTCTGGCTGGTTTCACTGAGCATGGTGTTTGGGCTTCATCTTTTAGCCTACATCAGAATTGTAGTCCTTTTCCTGGCCATGGCTGGCTGGCCTGCATTGTACTTACCTGTTTATCTCTTGGTTCTGTTCTGTCTGTTGTGAATAATGAATGTTGTGCTAAACCTGACTCCTTCATATTTGTGTGTGGACAGAGCCTGACTTCTGCTCAGGTGCATGGCTGAGAACAGAGTGGCAGTGTGGTCATTGGTTGCCCTTTACAGTGTGTGAGGTGGCCAAGAGTGGCAGTGGCTCCCCTGGTAGCGGGACTCTAGCCTGCTGTACCCTCCATGGCAGCCTGCCCAGCCCTCAAGGCCTTCCTCCACCAAGGAAGGGACTGATTGTCCCTCGCCGCCCTGTGCCTGCCCAACTGGCCCGCCCTCTGCTGCAGCCACTCAGTGTACATGAGGCCTGCGCTATGTCACTCTGGTTTCTTCTGTCACTCACAGCAGAAAACTACAGCCAGCTGGCATCACATGCACACAAGGGCCACACCCTAGCAGCCACAAGCTCCTTCCACCTGGGCTTGTGCCACAGCCTTGTTATAGCTCGCGGTGCTACCCCAGACAGCTGCATGAGCAGTGGCGCAGGGGTACCCACAGTGAAATAACGACTGAGTGGGACATGAAGGCGTACACCTACATCAGGCTGGCCATAGACGCCAAGGGACAGAAGGAAGGCAAGCACAGCCAGGTCACCGCCACGGGCAAGGGTCATGCAGAGACAGGTCCAGTCCAGTCTCGGCACCCCTCCCACGTATCCTGGTTCTAGGGTTCTAGGTCATGCCCACGCACCGCATGCACTTTATTTTTATTGACCTCTTTAATTTTTTGAGACAGGCTCTTGCTATGTGGCCCACACTAACCTTGAACTCTCCAAAGCCCTCCCACCTCAGCCTCCCAAGTGCTGAGATGACAGGCGTGGACCACCCACATCTGACTTGGGCACACTTTAGCTACCCCCAGCCTGACAGGCAGGGATGGCAAGGACCTAGTGGGGCGACAGTGTCCTTCATTATGAGGCCTCAGCACTACAGTACTTGGGGCCTCTGCCCCATAGGAAAGGTTTGGCCCTGGGCCTTAGTCCAAGGAACTGAACACTGGTCCTTAAACTGCAGCCTGGGATGAGCACCTTGAGGCTTCCAGCCCCAGGAGGAGTCGGCAGCCAGAGACAGACCTGGGCCGCCAACACAGATGAAGGCACAGTGCCACTTACTCAGGGCTAGAGCACAAAGTGCAGAAGGGACACAGTTGAGAAGGAGGGACAGTGTCAGGCCAGATCCTGAGGAATGACCGAGACCGTTAGGTCAGGCAGGATTGAAGCCAACAGCGACGTCTTCCTTCAGGCTGGGTGTAGCCTGGTCAAAGGCCATTGACTGAGAACAAAGGAAGAGAACCTAATGTACAGGCCAGCTTAGGTATGGGATCGGGCATCTCACTGAAGACAGTGGAACATTGTAGGTTTCTCAGGGACCGTGGATGCAGCTGGTGCCTCTTTGGGGGGAGGGAAGTACAGGGGACAGTGTTATTCTGCTGATTTATAGCATGTTATTCTATAGATTTACAGGGTTTGCTGTAAGCCTGAGGACCAGGCCTGGGAGCCGTCCTGGTAAGCAGATTTATTTTAGTCTCTTAGGCTGAGTGAGTGGGGTTCTTCCTCCTCGAATAGTGTGGTGGTCTGTAGTTTTTCTCTTCAGGTTAGGAGGGACCTAATTGCGAGGAACTAACATTCCTCTCTGTTGTATTATAATACAGAAGGGGTATTGTGTCTCTTGGCTTCCTCAAGTGTGGCTGGGGAAGCTTTGGGGGCATCCTAAAGGAAAAAAGTGGGTGAGGAGGGTGCAGGGCTGTAGAGGGCAAGGAATCTTGGGGTTTTGGGTTCCATGTAGAACTCCTGAGGATAATCCTGTGTATCAGGCTGTCAGAAGTTGTCTGGATGGGGCTGGGGAGATAGCTCAGTAGAATAAGTGCTTGCCTGGCAAGTGCAAGGGCCCGAGTTCAATCCCCAGTTCTGAAGAAAAAAAAAAAGCGCTGTCATGGAAGGGTTCTGTCCTTGAATAAAATTTGTTAGACAGCTTATCAAGCAGGGCCTGAATAGCAGGAATGGGCATATTAGGACTAGGGGCCTAAGTAGGGGGAGTAGCCAGGACAGCCATCTGCCCTGGGAGAGGTCACTCCACCACCCCAGGGAAAAACTGCCCATTGCCTGCTTTTTCAGTGTGGTGGCCTGTTCTTGGAGGCTTTGGGCTGCTTCGTAGATGACATCTGATCTGTTGACATAGAAGTAACATTTTTCTCTGAGGAAGATGCAGGTTCTTCCTTTGCTACAGTGAGCAAATTGAGAGCACAGTGGTCCTGGAGGGCATCCCAATGAGGGAGTCTGACCCCTTTGTGGGCCTGTGAAGGAATTGACGATATTTGTGAGCCTCTGGGACATTTCTCCAGAGAGCTGCTGGCAAGAGTGACGACAGCTACTCCTGCCACTCCTGTGCCTATGGCTATAGTTACTCCAATTCCTGCCAGTATGGGAATAAGCAGGTGGGAGGCTCATGGATGCCAAGGGGGGTTACATGGGGACTGGGAGTTGGGTTTGTCCTGTGATTAGATACATGTTAGGTGTGAAAAACTCCCGGGTGCAAGTTTCAGTTGAGTTGGAAGGGAGGCAAAGGTAAGCTGAGGTTCCGCAGTGCCAAGATAGACCTGTAGAGTTTAGGCAAAAGCGGTTGTGTGCATTTAGCAGGCGCTGGAGTTAGATACCTCTTCATGGTATTCCAGTCAGTTGGGGCTGCTGAAGCTAGACGACAGCAAATAAGAAAGGTAATAGTATGAATGTGAATAGGAAAGGAAGGTGACAGTACAAGGAAGGTGAAAGGAAGGGCAGTTGTGTTTTTACTGAGTTGTCAGGCAAAGGATGAGTGAAAAGGTAAAGAGGTTCATTTCTGGGGCAAAGTCCTATAGGCTTTCCTGGAAGGCTAGGTCCTCAATCCAGGAGAGGAGAAAATTTAAGGAGTCAGACTGGGGGTGAAACCAGGAAAGGTTGTGACAGATGTTTTGTAAAAAGAGGAAGGGCTGGCCTGATAGCTCAGCAGACTAAAGCACCTGCTTAGACAGAGCACAGCAGCCAGGGTTTGATTGGCAGCGTGCCCTGCTGGCCCTGCCCCTGAGACCACGACTGAGACTGGGCCTGGTGTCGCGCACCTGTAATCCCAGCACTTGGGAGGCTGTAAACAGGAGTATCACTATGAGTCCAAACTGTGTAGTGAGACCCTGTAGACCCTGTAGATCCTGTCCTAAATACAGAAAAAGGAAAGCATCTATGCTGAGGGTGTGGGCTTGATATTCAGCACTGTGGAAAACATAGCTTAGCTGGGTTAGGAGTTGGGGGGCCAGGAAAGGAGGCCAAGAGTGAGAAGATAGGTGGAGCATCAGAATTTTCTTGGTTGCATACAGTGCCAGGAGGCGGGTGAACAGACAGGTCTTTATTTCTCAGGAATATGGGTAAAGGCGCAAGGAGGTGGGAGAGAGTACTGGCAATTTCCGGTGAAGATTTCTGGCTGGAAGCTTATGGGTGAGACCAGGAAGGAAGTCCCAGGGGGAGGGTTTTAGGCTGGAGCAATGAACCCAGTGAGATGGATACTGAAAGAGGCTGCAGTGCTGCAGACAACTGTGTAAGGGCCTGTCCACTTGGGTCTTAAAGCTTGGGGGTGTCAGTCTTTTATCAGCGCTGCTTTGCCAGCGAGGCCCGCCTTGTAGGGTTGATGGTGAGGGAGATGTGAAATGAGTTGGCTGCCTCTTGGGTTTGCTGTCTGACTGGTAAAAGGTGGGGGAAACATAGTCTCCCAAGAGGCTGGGTTCAGGGACGTTACAGGGCCTTAGAGAGAGGTGCAGCCAGACAGCAGTTAAAAGAGGCTAGAGGATTTTTAATTTGCTATATAATTATTACTGGTTTTCAATAAAGTTAATGAGTATAAAAAATAAAAACATTTTTTAAAAAGAGGGTCCAGGGAGATGGCTCAGGGGCCAGGGAGATGGCTCAGTAGAATAAGTGCTTCCCTGGTTAGCGCAAGGGCCTGAGTTCAATCCCCAGTTCTGCCAAAAAATTAAAAATTAAAAAAAAAAGACAGTGGCTGTAGGGGCTGGTGAGATAGCTTAGTGGACTAAAGTGCCTGCTTAGGCAAGCTTAGACAAGCACAGGGACTGTGGTTTGATCTGCTGCACCATATGCCATGCCAGCCCTGCCTCCTGGGCATGCTGAGCCGACAGTGGAACCCAGGCGTGGTGGCACATGCCTGTAATCCCAGAGCTTGGGAGCCTGAAAATGAGGATCACTATGAGTCAGAGCTGGAGCTGCATGGTGAGATCCTATAACAACCAAATACATGGGGGGGGGAGAGACAGAGAGACAGAGAGAG